CTCCCGAAATCTCCCGAAGAAAGGACTCCTGGCATCTCCACAAGTTGATCTGGAGCTGCAGGAACGGGCATAGGTCCTGATCAATGGTAAGCACCCACAGCACACGTGCCATCACATGACTATCCCTACATGACCACTCCTAAACAGAACTCAACTCAACCAAACAAAATGAACACGTGGACCAATGATCTTGCCTTTTTCTGCCGATTCTTTCTTTCCAATGTCTGGCACTTTTTGGGGTCCTGGCTGCAAACACGCACATGCAGGGGCGCACACACAGTTTATTTATAAAATGCTCTGTGACACTTCCAACACAGAAGTAGCACCATATTCAAATCGAATGTTAGGTCATTTTATAAACAAAAATAATGCAGCATAATGCAACCGATGCAATTGCATATGTCCCACAGATTTTCAACCAACACAGCTTCAGCATGCTTCAGCCACTGATGTGGCATCTGTTCATGCAGCCTTGGCCGCACTTAATGGATCCAGTCTATATGACACTCTTGGTCACGAGGGAATGGCAGGAATGGACTCCTCCCAGCACTTAATCAGGGCAGTGACAAAGCGCTGGGGGTAGAGAGACGTTCCACTCAAATCTGGGCCGCCATGAAATTTTCCATTCGGACCGCGGACCCAGAAAATTGGGACCCTTTTGCCAGCCGCCAGCTTTTTGCTATTGGTCTTGGCTACCTGCCTCGCATGGCGTTCTTTTGCTTCTTTTGTCGCTTTGCGGACAAGAGGTTGGAGGCAAATGTTACTGAGCAAGTGTGTCCCTTTCAAGATGGGAGCACCAAAGAAGCCCAAGTACGTCAGGTGCTTGTGAAGATTCCAGCGGTGGAGCACCTCTTTCACTGGTGATTGCTTGAACATCCAGGAGGACTTGGGCTGCTCAATAACCACTTTCAAACTCGGTCGAAAGTATGCCATGAGGAGTAGGAAAGTCACCTGGGTAGTAGCTGGTGCAACGGCAACTCTACTAGAAACACTGAGCAGCAAATTCGCATTGTGACATGTCATGTATGCGCAGCCCAGGAACGGTGTTTCGCAAGATCAAGTTGCTGAGACGGACACTAAAGAGCGATGTGTCTCCTTCCAAATTGGTTTCCTCGGCTCAATTTACACCATTGTAACCTCGTACTTGCAAGACCCAAAAAATCAGGCAATATCAAACAAACTTGAAACACCTTGAAGCTATAACAGGGCATCCGAGAAGCTGATCGCTTATGAGTCCCCACCGAAATTCCGACAAACAAGCTGCAAGGCGGTGCAAGCATCAACAGGGCGTTCTCCAACGACCTGAGCAAGGAACAAACACCTTTGTTGTTTCTTCCTTGCCTCTCGGACTACATCAAACACATTCAAACACCAGCAAAATATTTTTCCACGCATCCGAGAAACTGCAAACCAATCTTGACCAGCAGGATAAACCCATCCCTGGTGGTTACATCAAAGCTTGGGTTGCTCTTGATGTCGTAAGCGATTGCCTGGTAACCTTTCCTGGACGCAGTTTTGCAAACACGTTGTGAAAAGGAAAATATATCCAAGCAGTGGTACTGCCGCAAGCCATCAGTCTTGTCGTATTTCTGGCAAAAGGCACTGAGGTAGCCCCAATGTCGGAAAGCAAAGAACCAATCTGCTTCATCTGATGTGGTTGCAGCATCAAGGGCTGGACTGGCAACAGCCTCAGCCAAAAGTAACCAAGCCATACCAAGCCTGAACACTCAAGACTGAATATGTTCTTTTTATGATGATGGCATATCATAAACCATTACAACATTTATAAAATGCCTGTGTATGAGAGCATGTGCTGCAACTGTGATTGACGGCTTCATTTTATAAATGAGGAGCTGCACTGCATGAAAGCAAAAGGCCCACAGCACTGAACCATCTCCCACATGGTGCCATGAGGCGCGCAGGGGCTTACCGGTCAAAACCAGCAACTTCCGTGCACAATGCAGGTCGCAAGGGTCTCTTGATGTTCAAATTTTTTTGCAGAAATAATATGTGTCAATCCAATTCAATCAATATCTATCAACAATCTTGCTTCTCAATAAACCAGATTAAGCAAAAGCCACCCTGCTGTCCTGTCTTTGCAGCTGCCTTCGCCTAACAAAAAAAACGAACAAATCAGATAAAAAAAACCAAAAGGCTCCCGATCTTCTTTGCATCACCCTTCATGCACCCTGCCTTCGGGGCTTTTCCAAGCACATGAGACAAACGCGAAGTCCAGGTCCATTTCGTCCTGGGCACCATGAGCCAAATATATGCTTTATTCAAGATCTGCCAAAAGAAAAGATTCTTTATAAAATAGATGCTGTCAAAATATGTCCAATTTATGAATTACCAGAACTACCTAAAAGCCTTTAAAACCCATTTTATAAAGATCAAAATCATACACCATTGATTTTATAAAGCAATATTTGCTAACACCCATTTTATAAACAATAGTTATCAAGAAAGATCTCAAGAAATCCCTGATATGACCGTTCAAAAAAGCCCAAAAGCACTGCCCAGATTATCCCAGATCTGCCAAGTGGCTCTCCAGGCCTCAAAAAGCACTCATGGTTGGATGATAATCCACCTGATCTTGGTTGGCTGCACCGCGCTCCTTAGCCATAGGGCATGTTTATCTTATTGAAAATAAAAGTCACAAATGAACTTAAGTTATCTTAAATTCATCAATGCGTTCTTGTTTGGAGTATGTCAAGCAAATTCACCAAATTCATTCAAGCGTCTCCAAATTCCACGAGCTTCGTCCCAACAGGGCTGTTGAACTTTCGCGCAGCATATGTTTATGCCACACCATTCCGGGACGCAAACAGGCGGAAGCGACATGCCGCCCGCGAAAGGACCTTGCAAATATTATAGTTGAATCCGAAAATATATTTAAATATTTGATATTATTTAAATCTATATCTATATCAATTTATGATCTTTACAGGTTCCTACATTCTAACTACCGGTAGGTTTAACATATCTTTTGCATTTAGATGCATTTGGTCCATTTGAGCCTTTGGCTAGATTTGGACAGGGCACACAGACAAAGCACAGATGCTGAGGTAACAGACAGATGTTTTTTATAAAATGATTTTGCCACAATTAATGTTCGTCAAGCATCACAAGATATCACAAGATACCCGGTTTTTACAAAATGGTTTTACCATCTCTCAAACATCCTCACATAACAAAATCCCTTCTTAGTTTTAGCAAAAACCACATATTTATAAAATGACTTTGGAAACCATTGGAAACCAATCACTACCAAACTACTATTACCATAGCCCATAACCTCATTATAAATTGACCTTCGGAAACCCATTTCATAAGGGAACTGGATACCCATTTTATAAGGAAGTAAGTATGGGGGATCTTCTTCTGCCACACTCTCCATGTGTCGGTCCCAAAAGTTCCAAAGACCTCCGTAATTGAATCTTTGAGGCGCGGACGACAGCGCAATGTGTGCCGCGCGCACGCGCGCAATGTGTTCCGCCGGCTTTGCGGCCAGGATGGGGCTTCCGGGCTTGAGCGACGAAGCAGCTGAAAGGCCCCAAATGCTTGATCAGGGTGGATGTAAGGCCGACTATCTATCCCAACAACTTAATATAGAACATCGTAGAACTATAATGAACTATTTATAGAATGGGAACAGAATAGAAACCATGCAAGACAGCAAGGCGGTTCTCCTGCACACCAGCAGGGGGGTGAGTGTTATTCAAAGTTCTGGGCAGTTCGGGCCTGTTCCAGTGACAAAGCATGGAACATTCGTGAATGATGTTAAATTCTGACCTTCACTTCAATTCGATCCAAAATACATGTTTCATCATATTTCATGAGTCCTCCGTGAAACCAATTTGATTGCAACACCATGTCGCCTTGTGTGGCGATCTGCTGGAACAAACAGATTACAACTCGTCACGGTCGGCCAAAAGATCCCCCGACAATGACCATCATGCGCCCATCGGTCGGCGTGTTCGCCACATGGCTGATGCTGTTTGTCAGTTCTCATGTCTCTAAACATGGATTCACCTGAACCATGGCTCATACGGAAGGCATCTCTTCAAAACTAATAATAATTTACAGAGTTTCGTGCGTTTCCCCTACAAAGCCGGTGTTTCGATGTCCAAAAACCGTCCAAAAAGAATCACCCCGTCCTCTCCCCCTGGTCGCTTCCGCGGATGTCCGGGTTCCACCAGGTCTTGCGGACGCATTCAGCAGCTTGCCGATGGGGCTGGGGAAGAGATCGAAGTGATCCGTGCGGAAGGCGTCGGTGAACTCCGCCTGGATCTCAAACCTGAACTCCGCACGGGCCGCGCCAGGCTAGCGCGGTCGCATCGAAGTTCCGGGGCCGGGGGAGTTGGACTTCAGACCCCCACTGAGTTCCTGCGGGGAATGTGGATGAGGAGGGAAAATATGGGGAGCCTGCTGCACACAAGGAGTGTATCTATATGAACTATAGTCAGGCTGGAAAGCATCCAAGGAAGGGCTCAGAAAACCCTTTTGTGGAAGAGGTCTCCGGAAAAGCCACCCACCATCTACCCTGCCGTTGCTTAAGCAATTAAGCTTACCAACAGGTGCAGAAAGTGGAGACCGTTACTTGCAACTTTGAGGGTTCCGTAGTCCCACCAGCTGAAGTCTTTGCTGAGTGTCCAATCATTCACAGTATTACGTCCTTCACATGCGACAGATGCCTCCCTTCAAAACAAAGGCCCTTCTGTGACAGTGCGACAGATTGCCGTTTCCATCCATGTCAATGTTCACTTTGGTATCATTTTCTGGTGTCCAAACCCAGCTAAGTTGACCTCGCTTTCGCAGAAAAAAACTCTTGAGCTGGCCGTCCGGAAGAGCTTCACCATCCAACGCAACGTGATCGACACGGCTGAAACGTCACAGCAAATTCAATCAGATTCACCTCTGCTTGGATCACACAAACTTTGAGTCTGTGCCTGCTTAAACTGCGGTTAATTCCTCACCGAAACATTGGCTGCCTGATGCCAAAGCTCTGAATATCGGCTTTTGCTGGCAACTGACTCTGACCTGAAAACCTTCCAGTCCACAATTGCAAGCCTTTGCCAAGCAACCTCTAGTGACATCCCATCCCCAAGCAAGGCACTGCGGCGCTGGGATGCACGCAACGCCAGACAACAAGTCCCCTACGAGGCTGTTTGGGCGTAGGAAGACGATGCTCTCACTGAAGCTGCTCGCATCGCATGGGCTTGGCCTGCATCCGCCAGGAACATATCGAGGTGATTACTGCTTCACCACATCAGCCGTCGTCCGAGCGGAGCCATTGGGAAAATTCTTGGAAGTCTGGGAACCCCACACTTGACCAAAGCTGCCTTGCTTGGCAAACCTGGCTTGGAGCTCTTCATGAGCGAGCCAGAATTGACCTTCGACTGCATCACGGAGCCTTCGCTCTGGGTGTATCAAAAATAGGAAGACCTCCCAAAGTTTCAAAGAGTCCACGGAAGAAGGAAAATAGCAAAAAAAACATTGGTTCCGGGTCTCATACCCATCTAGATCTTCTCCGGCAAACTTGACAAGGAGCCTGCAAGGAGACAGGGCATCAAGGCAAACAGCTCAGCAACTTGATTCTAGTTTGACAGCTGCTCGGACACGTACAAGTCACCCGAACATGGTGCCAAAGCTTGTGCCAATCAGAACAAGGTTCGGGCAAGGTTAGGATGATTTTCGCCCCAGCTGCCATTTTGAGTCTTGCAATCAGACTAGCTTCACTTGCCTGATTGCTTCTGAATTCTGCGTAGAAACCTTCACCGAGCAGGGTTTCTTGGGTGTGTCTTTGGAGGAAGTGAACTCTTTGGAAAGCAAGATCCCGTGTCCACCGTAGCCAGATCGCCCGGAAATGATTCGCGCGGACATGCTTGATGCTTACAAAGCCTGCATGCTGATCATAGCAACCCAATCGAACCTGGCACCTGGCGATCTCAATGGTCATCCTTGTATTCCAACACGACCTGCTGGGAAGAAGGAACATAGACCCAAACCCATTGAGGTTGGGTATCTCCCTTTTAAAATGCACACCCAATGTAGGCTCTTGATTCTTGATTCTTCTCTCCGGAACCGAAGCGTCACCTCCAGTCTCTTCTCCAGAACATTGGCTGGAACCACGCGAGCGCCATGGCGGGAACGTCGGGCCGCAGAACGTTCACAAGGTTCGAGCAAAAATGACGCAAACCCGGACTCTACTTGCTATTCTGGAGACACTCCAGCGCAGGACACTGAAACCTTGTTGCGTTCAAATGTCAAAAGCAAAAGTGTACGTACAGTTCGCATCATGAATCCAGACTCCACTGCAACTTGGGATGAGGTGGACTTTCTTTGAATGAAAACGCCACGTGGCGTGGACAACGCCACGAAGACGCCAAGCTGTCAAGCTGTCGTGGCTGTCTGAGCTCCAAGCTCCCATCTTGCCAGATACAGCTCAGGCTCATCCACGATCCTTGGCAGCCTCAGGGGGGCACAAGGAGTACATACGCCACAACATGGACATGTTCCATCACCTGCAAGTTCGCAGAAAAGGAAACAAGGTCCCTGCAAGTGCGTAGAGTCCTTACATGATACATGTACTATTGTAATTAATTGTATTTACTGTGGTGTTTGGAGTGCTTCCAAGTTGTGGTGCAGGATTTCTTCCTGATACAATCCCGACATCTTGCCCCCGTTCCTCTCATTCACACCATCCTCACCGCCCTCTGGGCTTCACGGACGCTCGCAGGTGGAGCGTCTCCTGGAAGTGATCCAGGGCCAGGGCCTCAGGAAGGGAAGCATTTGTTCAGCCGTTTTTGTTGAGTTTCCGAAACCACTAAAGTTGACATCCCAAAATCAAGTTTCAAGGTTTGTCATATAGATATACATATATATATATATATGGTTTATGGGTGCTTTTCTGGGTAGGCAACAACACAACACCCACATCAACGGCTGTAAAGTCAACGTGCGGGAGCTCCAAAAGTGTTCATGCTCGATGGGGTTTACCAGGATCCCTGCCATGATCCACAGCCAAATGTGAAGCAAAAAGGAAGAACAGGGAGATGGGAAGGATGGGAGGTCCGATGGGGGGTCCTTTCATTCGGATAGTTTGGATCTGTGTCACGGTAGGTTGTGAGCTATTTTCAATGAAAAAATGTAAGTGATGATGAAGTGTCAAGGGCATCATATATATATATATGAATATACATTGTGGAAGTTTTAACAGAGAAGATCTTGATGAATTTTGTAGGGTGTTGGATGTCGCCATTGCAAGCTGCGACTATGTGCCATGATGCTGAAGGAGCTCCAATGTGGACATCTCAAAGCTCAGGGCACTGGCCCATTGGGTTGCGTCCGCTACACTCCGTGAAATAGTCATGGTTACATGGAGTTGTCCAACCACCTGTTTGCGGATTTCATGGTCAGAAGTCAGGGCCATCCACGTAGCCATGATCTTTTCAAAAAGCTTTTTGGGTGAACTCCCACAGGCCGCCGAGGCGGCCGTCCGGACGGACCGTCCAGGGCGCCGACCGCGGAGTGAGGCTCAGGAGGGGTTCAAGTGCCCAAATCGGAGATTCCAAGCATGTGGAGAAAAGAAAAACAACCCGGCGGAGTCATTACCGCCCACGATTTTGTTCTTTTTGGGTGTTTCACTGCTGCGAAATCCGATTTCTGAGATAGAAGTCTGAGGACAAAACATGTCAAAAAAGTGCCCCCTCTGGCGCGTTCGTTTTCTGTGCTTTGAGTACATTTCGGAAAGTTTTAGTTTTCTCGATAGCCGGAAGTGAACGCATGTCCAAATTGGCACATGCAAAAGCATGATTAAATACCATCGACAATTGTCATGGTTGCATTGGCGCTAAAGGCAGGTTGTACTTCTTGGCCAATGCCTTATAGCACGGCGAACCATCATGCATTCGTATGCATGTGAAATCATCTTCGAAGCACATCTAAACCAACGTGCTTGTCCGGTGGACCGCTCTTGGGACAGTGTCTTTCCAAGGGAGCCCCACTGCAATTGCACTTCGTGTCACCCCACCCATTTACAGTTCTGACCGTCAATGAGTGTCCATGTAACATATGTCAATGAGTATCCATGTCACAAATTTGTGGTACTTGTTGTTGTTCTTGTTGTTGTTGTTGTTGTTGCAAGTAGGCAAGTTGACAGACATCGGAGAACTTCCGGCCAATACCCCTTGGTTGCAAGCGGTGCTTCAGCGTTGCCAGAGCGCGTCAAGCTTTTGAAGGTGCTTTGAGAATCCTTGTTTCGAGTCTTGTTTCGACATCTGTGTTGCACTCGAACAATTTCCACACAAGTGTTAACGAGTGTCCATATCAAAAAGTATCCATGTCTTTCTGGGCGGTAAAAATTCCGCTAGCAAAAACAAGTAAATCATGTATACTGTATAACAATAAATAAATGACATTTAATGTAAAAATAGCCCCAAATGTGTAGAAATCGAGATTGACCATGTGGTCCAAACTGAATTTGGTTCTACAAGTCCGGCCACCTGGGCAAGCTACAGTAGTGGAAAGTCACCCAACTCGTGGAAAGTCACTCGGACAAGTG